GCTGGAGCGCAGCAAACAAACCTCTACCAAACACGCTGAGCAGCGAAGGGACTCCCACGCTGAGTACTTAAAGGTGGGCAGACTGGGCGAGTGGAGGAAGAGGGAGGCGAGACCAGCAGAGGCACAGCCTGCACCCGCGGCTGCTGAGACTCGGGGTCTCAGAGAACAGATCGGAGAGTTCCCGCGCTGGCTCCCTGCACCTCCAGCCCGTGCTAAGGCAGAGCCCTCAGGCCGGGCGCCAGGCAGAACGGAGAGAGGAGGGCGTGAGCGGAGGCACAGTCCGTCTGTGCCCGCGGCTGCGGAGCTGTGGGAATCCAGGACAAGGCGAAGTGGTTTACAGCACCAGGGCGGGCTCAGCCTCTGGGCTGACCGTCCCCACCGGGAGTCCGACAGCAGCCCCAGGGCGCGCAGTTTCTGAGGCAGAAATCTCAAACCAGCGAGCAGGAGAAGAGGGAAGCGAGAAGCATGGAGATGCAGCCCGCACCCCACAGCTGTGGAGACATGAGCTGCTTTGCCAGGGGGTGCCCCTGGAGAGCATCAGGGGATCTGCGGGAGCATTGGAGGGGGCTTTTTTCTTTTTTTTCCAATTTTTTTTTCTCATTCTTTTTCCCCCTTTTCTCTCACACAGGAAAAATAAACTGCATAGATAAGTGCACACCCCACCCTCCCTCAGAAACCTTAGCCCCCTCCCTGCCAGAGCCTGAGGCTGACTCCTGAAGAGAGGAGTAAGTCAGAACAAAGGTGCTTCGACTCCCTGGGGGTTGAGTCATTTACATGAGAAGAGGCTGCAGGTGGGAGCTACTAAACACACTGTCCCTGCCCCCACCTCTCCTGGGTGGCTTGGGAAGCAGAACAGCTTTGGCTGCTGAGGCACAGGAAGGCCTACCAGCAGCTCTGAAATCTCCACCCCCACCCTCCAACAGCCCCAGTGGAAAGAGCACCCAAAGACGCACATCCAGTCCTCTGGCTGCGCAGAAATCAGAGTGCCTCTGGACAGGCAGGAGCAGAAATAACACTGACTTTGTAAAAAAAAACTACCAATCACACCTCATAAGTCCACTCATCTAAAATAAACCTGCATTACCAAGCTCACTCTAGGTACCAGGCGGCTGGCTCTGTCCCCACAAGACACACAGGATTGTATGTATAGCAGAGGAAAACCTGGAGAGAGCTTGGTGGACTTCAGCCAAGATTGGCACTGGTTATTTCTTGTTTTTTCCCCCTTTTTTTCCTTTATTGTTTTTGGGTTGAGTTTCTCTTTTGGTGTGTTATATTGTTTTTGTTAATTGGGTTCTCTTGGATGTTTTGAGTTTTGTTTTTTTTTTTCATTAATCGCTTGTGTTGGTTGTTTTTGGATTTTTCTATTTCATTAGTAATTTTAGTTTTTTATATAGGCATATATAAAGATGCATATATGTGGATACATATGTCCATATATATGGGGTGTAGACATTGACACACACACACACACACACATACACACACACATATATTTTTCTCTTCATTTTTCTCTCTTTCCTTCTCTTGTAACCTCTCTCCCTTCTTTCATGCTTCCTTGTCACAGCTTGATTTGCCTCCTCCTTTCCATTTTTTCTGCAAGTTTTTTTTTGCTGTTGCTGTTGTTGTTTTAAAGGTGTTGCTATTTTGTTTCTCGTGTTCATTCTATTTTTTAGTTATTATATTTCATTTTATCTTGCTCTGCTAGGAACAAGACAAGGCTGTCCACTTTCTCCACTTTTATTCAACATAGTCCTAGAAGTTCTAGCGATAACAATCAGACAGGAAAAAGAAATAAAAGGCATCCGCATTGGCAAGGAAGAAGTAAAATTGTCATTATACGCAGATGACATGATACTATATATAGAGGACCCCAAAGTCTCTATCAAAAAGCTATTG